CGATGCCAATAAGAGAGACCTTGGTTCAGGCAGGAGTGTGAAGCATCCTTACGCACAAACACACTCGAAACTCAATCTTACACACTCTCAAAAGCCAGTTTCTTTTGGCAGGTCTCTCTAAAGGTTGTCCTCCATCTGGAGGCCCATTAAACTTGAAGGCTGTGATACACTGACTACCCAATTCACTCGCACAGATCCATATCCACATGGTTGTCCCTCGATGGCCATTGTAGGGGGCACAGAGGTAAACTAGTGCCAGCTTTTTCATGTTAATTAAAAACATTTGGACTTTGGAGAAGATCTTTTAGAACAAGGTGAGTTACAAATAGCAAATGTAATTGATGTAATTCCTGCTAATTTCTGCTTCTGTGTTTTCAATGATATCTCTGAAATTCATGGAACTGCAGATGCTAAAAATGAGCCTCTGAGTGAGAGTAAATGAGTGGGAGGTGATATCTCTCGTTCTCCTCCCATGCTGATCCACAGACTGGAAATTACACTGAGCATCTGTCCCCATAAGGATCCTGACCACAACCATAAACTGCACTGCTCCCATGAGCCTCAGTGTTTCAGCTCGACTGAGTGAAATAGCCTCTATTATCTCATGCTAATACAGATTCGCTGATCAGCAGTTACTAGAGTTTTAAAGATTACTGGAGAGATAAATGCATTTACATTTAGTTGCCTGACTCTGTGCACCTTTCAGATTTAGCCTAGCAGTAGATCAATTTTTAGCACAAAACTAAATCTTTAGGTAAAATCAGAGCTGCCATAGTAACAAAATGTTAAGTCATAAGTTCATCACACTAGTTTGACCATTTTGAATTTCTGATGAAGAAAACCGAGCTAAAACGCTGAGAACTCATGCAATTGAGTAGAAAAGATTGATTGCAGTCTTAGATTATAGAAATATATATTATTTATTTACACAGTTTGTTCAATAAGTGACCGTTTTCCGCAGATATCCAAGGGTTCACATACTTTTTCCACAATCACTGTGTATTAATACGCATCCACCATAATGTTATCCGTTTGCGGTCTTGTTTTCTTCAGCACTGCAGAAAATAATGCTTGGTTTCTCAAAAGCTGTCATTTCGAAAGGTTACCTGATATCACTGAGTGTTTACATAACCCTCAAATCAAGTCATCAGTAATAAGAATTGAAATGACATCACATATTACATCACAATGGATAAACAGCAGCTAATCACAGAGATTTTGCCAGTTTCATCCACCAGCCAAATTAAGGTAAAATGGCTCAGACCCTACAATCTAAAACTTGATCTTGCTGACAGAACACAAAAACACAAGCCAAGTCCTCCGAGACTGAGAGTAAGAGAGAGGGAAAGAGTGCTGGAGTACGGGTCTTTGTAACGTGGCTAACAAAGAAAGAAGAATACATTTCCATGGTGAGCCCATTGAGGGGCGAACACTCACACTAAACTCATAAATCTCACAGACCACCAGGGCTAACGGGGCTGTGCTGCCAAGCCTGGGCTGGGGTTGGCAGGGTATGCTGATATGATCACCCCAGGGTCTGTGTTATCTGACAGGCTTATCATCCAACACACTCACAAGATCAATCAAAACTACATGTTTCTCTGTCTTTCCCTTCTTTTGTTCCACACCAATCGCATTTCATCAGCAAGGAGCATCAGTTAGAAAAAGGCTCCGGGACAGGAAGATAGATGAGGGTGTTCTGAGAGAGAGACAGGGGACGCGGCCCAACAGTGACGATGCCAATAAGAGAGACCTTGGTTCAGGCAGGAGTGTGAAGCATCCTTACGCACAAACACACTCGAAACTCAATCTTACACACTCTCAAAAGCCAGTTTCTTTTGGCAGGTCTCTCTAAAGGTTGTCCTCCATCTGGAGGCCCATTAAACTTGAAGGCTGTGATACACTGACTACCCAATTCACTCGCACAGATCCATATCCACATGGTTGTCCCTCGATGGCCATTGTAGGGGGCACAGAGGTAAACTAGTGCCAGCTTTTTCATGTTAATTAAAAACATTTGGACTTTGGAGAAGATCTTTTAGAACAAGGTGAGTTACAAATAGCAAATGTAATTGATGTAATTCCTGCTAATTTCTGCTTCTGTGTTTTCAATGATATCTCTGAAATTCATGGAACTGCAGATGCTAAAAATGAGCCTCTGAGTGAGAGTAAATGAGTGGGAGGTGATATCTCTCGTTCTCCTCCCATGCTGATCCACAGACTGGAAATTACACTGAGCATCTGTCCCCATAAGGATCCTGACCACAACCATAAACTGCACTGCTCCCATGAGCCTCAGTGTTTCAGCTCGACTGAGTGAAATAGCCTCTATTATCTCATGCTAATACAGATTCGCTGATCAGCAGTTACTAGAGTTTTAAAGATTACTGGAGAGATAAATGCATTTACATTTAGTTGCCTGACTCTGTGCACCTTTCAGATTTAGCCTAGCAGTAGATCAATTTTTAGCACAAAACTAAATCTTTAGGTAAAATCAGAGCTGCCATAGTAACAAAATGTTAAGTCATAAGTTCATCACACTAGTTTGACCATTTTGAATTTCTGATGAAGAAAACCGAGCTAAAACGCTGAGAACTCATGCAATTGAGTAGAAAAGATTGATTGCAGTGTTAGATTATAGAAATATATATTATTTATTTACACAGTTTGTTCAATAAGTGACCGTTTTCCGCAGATATCCAAGGGTTCACATACTTTTTCCACAATCACTGTGATTAATACGCATCCACCATAATGTTATCCGTTTGCGGTCTTGTTTTCTTCAGCACTGCAGAAAATAATGCTTGGTTTCTCAAAAGCTGTCATTTCGAAAGGTTACCTGATATCACTGAGTGTTTACATAACCCTCAAATCAAGTCATCAGTAATAAGAATTGAAATGACATCACATATTACATCACAATGGATAAACAGCAGCTAATCACAGAGATTTTGCCAGTTTCATCCACCAGCCAAATTAAGGTAAAATGGCTCACACCCTACAATCTAAAACTTGATCTTGCTGACAGAACACAAAAACACAAGCCAAGTCCTCCGAGACTGAGAGTAAGAGAGAGGGAAAGAGTGCTGGAGTACGGGTCTTTGTAACGTGGCTAACAAAGAAAGAAGAATACATTTCCATGGTGAGCCCATTGAGGGGCGAACACTCACACTAAACTCATAAATCTCACAGACCACCAGGGCTAACGGGGCTGTGCTGCCAAGAATAGTGTCAAAATTGTCAGGGGGCGTGAAATTGCAGTGTAGGCGTGTGTTTGTGTTTATTCATGTCTGCTTCTTGTTGTGACTTCAAGTGTAGCACGGTGCAACATTTTCTTTGATTTCTTCTCGCAAACATAAAAGCTGGAAAATTTAAATTGCCGAATAACAGAAACATCTGAGGCAACGCTTCCTTGACACACTTTCGCTTCAGCTTGGGAATTCACTCCACAGAGAGTAGATCCAGATTTGCCTTTCCTTTCAACCTTCCCTAGTACCTTCATCCTTCCTGGAGACATTGCATTATTCCTTTCTCTCCCCGTTCTCTCGTTCTTCAGTCGGGAGTTGAACTACAACAAAGGGACCAACATGTGACATATAAAAAGTAATCTCGTGTCAAGCAAAAAGCAAACTGTAACCAGCCAGACACATACACACAATCTCTAGGGTGTCAAAGCGGCAACACGCCGCACACAAAAATGCTGCCAGCCACTCTTCACTCTATACTGCCACAAAAGAGCAAGCGCTTGTACAAAACTCCCAATCACAGGCAATACAGCTCCGCTATCAGCAAGATGTCACTCTAAACACAATCCCACCGTTTTGAAGCAGTAGGGATCAAACTTCTATCACCTCAGTCCAGTCGCCGACAGGGATAATCTCCCAGATTGGCTTCCACACAGACAAAAGGCACAGTTTACCATCTAATTAGGGACTAAAGCCATTTTTTACAACAGCTTAATGAGGCGGTGATCAGAGCAACATGAAAATATTATTTTGCACGCTTGATGCTCAGGAGGGAGCATGGACTTTGACCTCCTGTGCAGTGCAGGAACATGGGCAATCCTACAGCTCGGAGAGGAGCGGAGCCAGGAGTTGTGCCAGTCCGAGACTCGCAACAACCCTAAATTGATCTTTCACTATTGTATTGAACAACTCTCTATTTATAAGTATCTGTTATAGATCTCCAGTGGGTGTCAACTACAAAGACAAGGGTTGGAAACATAGTGGTACTAATCATGATCAATGTTCTTTTTGCAATTTGTTCTGGAATGTGCACCTTATCCAGGCTTGCTTCCTGCTTGCAAATCTGACTCGCAACTACATAACGAAAAAACAAGTTTCACCAGTGTGTAAAATCCAAAATTCTCCTCCTCCTAACTGTGAGCATCTTGTACAACAGCTGTACCCAAATGAACAAGAACATGAGTACAGTTGTAAAGGGTGTGCACTGCAAAACTTCCTTTGATCCCTGACAAATGCTTCCAGGTAAGTCCCCAATGCGGTTGGGAATTCATCACACAACACAACAAAGAGTTCCCCTAAAGAACTCTTCACACAAGACTGTGCAGATCCAAACACAGAACAACTACTAGAACCAAACTGAATGTCTTTTAAAACACAGGGTTTGGAGTCGATAGCTCCATGGGCATGCTTGGACCAGAGTTCGAATCCCGGCTTGTGGTCCTTTCCATTCTCGCACCTCTTGCTCTCTCCCACTTCGCTTCCTATCCACCCCGACTGTTGTATCCAAAAAAAGCACAAAGGGCTTCCCCATCTACTACGTGTAGAAGAAGTGTCCTGTCCCTTGAAACAACTGGTTTTACTTGCATTATTCTTATTTTTAGGTTGCTTAGTCTAGATAAACGGATCCATTCATCTAACCAAGTTGCCTAGAGAACATATCTCTAGAGAAGGTAGAAACTTACATGAAGGGTCCCATCTGATCTCCTAACCCAACTTCAGAATGCTCTCAGGAGTAGGTTAAACAAGTCGACTCACCTGTGCGATCTCATACAGCAGCTTGTAGTGCTCCTCTCTCTTCTGCAGCGTGCACAGGTTACAGCCCATCTCGCCGTCGCGGGTCCCCCAACAGATCTCTGGCAGTAGTGCACACACACAGGCACACCGGGGATTTCCCTCAAACGTTGAGTAACGTCTCTCATCAGTGGGTACCTCTTACCCCCTCTTCTTTGTGTGAAAATCACGCACTAACCGGCCTGCCTGATGCTGCAGAATTCCTTGTGAATGACTGTCTGTGTGCGTGCATCATACCCCCTCGATCTCCCAGTGTCCCTCTCATCCACACTAGCTAGCAGTCATCCACGCACGCTGTACTAAACCCCTCTTCATAGAGACACACCCCCCTTCTCTCACTCGCCCATCTCTCTCTATCTCTCTCTCTCGGTTCCTCCCTCTAAAGCTCAGTGCACCATCATACCCCCTCGATCTCCCAGTGTCCCTCTCATCCACACTAGCTAGCAGTCATCCACGCACGCATGTACTAAACCCCTCTTCATAGAGACACACCCCCCTTCTCTCACTCGCCCATCTCTCTCTCTCGGTTCCTCCCTCTAAAGCTCAGTGCATATGACTACACCTACTCTAGCCCATGAATAATTATGACTGTCTGTTGGCTATTCATAAAAGATGATGCGTAGAAGGTGCTGTGACTGTGTTAACTGGGTATTTATCTCGAGGCATTAAATAAGATGGTAATGACCACCAACTGAGCAACTAAAAAATACATCTCATGTTCAGATAACACGTTTATTTATTATATGATTGATTTATGATGTTAATTTCTCAGTCATTAGTGATGCTGTATTTCATGAATAGGAATTGGCTTTGTGAAATAGAATGGTTTGTTTTTCAGTGAAGGGTGAATAAATGTTGTCAAAATGGATTTCAACCATTTTGTGAACACTGTAACCTATCCAGACATGATGCAATACACCAATAAGAGATAAAACTCTTTTATGTAACTCAGAGTTTTTATCCTAACAAGTCGCAACAGGACATTTTTTCAGTGCCAATTTCTATGCCTGCTGTGTGGGTCAGTGTCGCCCACTGTGAAATCTCTTTGGTCCAAAACCTCACCACTTATTACTGCACATTGAACATCAAATATCGTCTGATTAGCTGTGAATGTATCGCCTTCTGGTACAGTTTTTGTTGTCTTTTCTCTGTCTGCAAACTCTGGTTGCAAATCGCCACCCTAGTGTTGGTTGTAATGAACTTTCAAAGTGTTTGTGCATCGCAAATCTTAGTTTGCGTCTCAAGTAAAGTAACATGACAGCATTCTATCCTTTGCTTACTGTAACCATTCATTTTAAAGTAGCAACAAGACTTGAAGTCGCATCCAAAGCTCAAATTGGCGTCAAAAATCTTATATCCCAAAGAACACTTTGTCATAAGCATTGAAAAAGAATCTAGACAAATTGCAAACTTCACCACCCAGCTCTTTACATTGGCACTGACATTAAAACCAAAAAAGAAAATTCTGTCATTAATTACTCACCCTCATGTCATTCCAAACCTGTAAGTTCATCTTCGGAACACAAATTAAGATATTTTTGATGAAATCCGAGAACTTTTTGACCCTGCATAGACAGCAACGCAACTACCACGTTCAAGGAGTTGTGCGTCGTGGTACTCTCGTGAAAGTGCATCGACTGACACAGAAGAGAAGAAATTGTTGAATAAAGTTGTTATTTTTGTTTTCTAGGCGCACACAGCATTCTCATAGCTTTCCTCATGTCATTCCAAACCTGTAAGTTCATCTTCGGAACACAAATTAAGATATTTTTGATGAAATCCGAGAACTTTTTGACCCTGCATAGACAGCAACGCAACTACCACGTTCAAGGAGTTGTGCGTCGTGGTACTCTCGTGAAAGTGCATCGACTGACACAGAAGAGAAGAAATTGTTGAATAAAGTTGTTATTTTTGTTTTCTAGGCGCACACAGCATTCTCATAGCTTTATAAAATTAAGGCTGAACCACTGATGTCACATGGACTATTTTAACAATGTCCTTACTATGTTTCTGGGCCTGGAACATGGTAGTTGCATTGCTGTCTATGGGAGGGTCAGAAACCTCTCAGATTTCATCAAAAATATCTTAATTTGTGTTCCGATGAACGAAGGATTTACGGATTTGGAACGACAAGAGGGTGAGTAATTAATGACCGAATTTTCATTTTTGGGTGAACTATCCCTTTTAACATTAAACAGTATTTCCACATATTCTTGATGGGGGAGGACATTTAATAATCAACTACTGGAAAAAATAAATAGTTGATGACTTTTCTAAATACTGTAGGGGATGTGCACAGCTCATACTTTATGGTGGCTACAGCCTGCTGTATTTACCCACACATGGTCAGTGGTTGATAAATTAGATTTATGTTGGCGGCTTATTGAAAGACAATGGTCCAGTAAATATGCAAAAGAAAGGGAAGAGACACCAACCACTATTGATTGTCCTCAAATTAGTTTCCAGTCTCACAGTGGGAGTAAAAGAGAGAGACGTGTGGTGATAACAGTACACCGTAGAGGCAGTTGTCCACTGACTGCAAGACAGCTCTCTTGGGAAGCAATAATCTGATTTGCAGAGCTTTAATTTCACTCAGCAGGTTTGGAAAGGATCTGAGCCAAATTTGCCCCAAAAAGGAACTTCTCTCTTCCAAACACAACTCTCTACAGTCCTCCACAACATGTGCCTGGAGATATGCTGGAAGGCACTTACTAACTCCATTTGTCGCTTCTATTTATCTCTAAACAGCAATTAAAGATGGTTGTTCAAGACATTAAGAAACCAAGTTTAAAAAATATATATATATATTAACATTATAAATCAAATTATTTCTATTAAAAACAAATACTACTAATAATGATAACAATAAATATATTTTGTGTTTAAATTTATTTTATAATTTATTTATATAAATAATAGTGCAAATGGTACAAGCTATGAACCAAACCATGCACTTATTTAATAACAAAAGATCACCTACTGCTGGAAATTAATCAAAACTTAACAGGACAATTAAGTATCAAAGGGACTCTTTTCCATTTAATCCCATTCCATTTCATTCAATGCCATCCCATTCTATTTTATCCTTTTCCATTCTACTTCAAAGTTCTAATTTATATTCACTAAGGAGGAAAAGGTCATCTGCAGGGATCAGAAGGCGCTATAGCAGATAACATCAGCTGCTGACATCATGGGTCACTGAAGATGACCCCTAAAGGTGACATCATCAGGAATAAAAGTGGCAAAAAAAAGGTGACCGCAAGTATCCATTGGGAGTCCTGGAGCCCTGAAACTGCTTAATAGCATGTCTGAGTTAGCAAATGCAGCTAAAGCAATGCCTGTCAATTGGTTAAAATTAGAATTCATACTTCAGCTCTTGTTTTTTCTGAGCTTAAGACAGCAAGGGTGCGTGATCTTTCATGTAGCGTTCAGGCACCTTGAGAATTGCACCTCTGTTCTTTTGCTAGCAAGGGAGGGGAAAGATGTGAAATGCCCTTCAGTGCCATTCACACAGTTAAGATGAGTCATCAGTTTGAGATACAAAATCCAGGAGATATCACCATCTGGGCCTTTAATTCCTGATACAACTTGTTCTTAAAAGTCCCATATGTTGAAATGATAAATAAATGAAGTTATTTATGGTTTAAAGCTATTAATCATGTCACAGATATCTCCTGGATGGTCTTTACCTCTGTTAGAGAAACTTATGAAGACAATAAAGCATTACGTAATTGATATATATTATTTAAGGGCTATTTGAGATGCTTACATATTGATGTAAGTGAACAACTTTAGATGACTGTTCACACCGTACACGTACAACAAAACACAGACTAAACTGATGCACAGGTGGTGCTTGAATGGAAATATCAGAATGACTGAGGGCTAATGTGCCGTGTACCTCAATGCCCAAAAACATCAATTATTTAAACCTATGAATCATTAATCAGAGCAAAAACACCAGTATTGCTGTTGTTGGAGCCCAGGTTGAGGGGTAGAGATGTGAAAACACTCCAAATGGAGACACTTCAGAGAGAGATGATGTTCAAAATGTACATTGTAAAAAAAAAATCCATAAAATTTACGGTAAAAAAAAACGGCAGCTGTGGTTGCCGGAATTTTACCGTAAAAAATACAGTAGCAACATCTTAGGTTTTACGGTTTTAACTTAAATTATACAGTTAAATACCATAATTTCATTAACTAATATAATGTCAATATACCAACCTATTGAAGTACTGAAACCTTTTTCTGTTTTGTAGCTTTGTTATACACTGATAACCACCAAATGCAGGTGGTGATGAGAAAGTCACATGATGAACCTAAGCCCATCACAAGCAGCTTTTAAATGATAACATATATAGAAGGTGCACAGTGTCATTCACAAAGACACTAAACACCATCATGGTAACACACATGAAACTGAAATAATGCAATAAACATTCATTTAACAACATTAGGTGTAACATACAACCCTAACATACAAAACTGATAAGAAAAAACTAAGAAGAAACATAGTTTTCAACAAAAAAAACCCCTCAAATTTGAAATGTAACACAGGGAATTCTGGGAATGTCAATTTACGGTTATTCACTGTAAATTATACGGTCTTTTTAACTTAAAAAAAATTCATGTCCAATACAGTTTTTCACCGTATATAGTAGGGGAATTTACCGTTAACCATTTAACAGGTTTTTACTGTAGCATTTTTACAGTCTTTTACCGTTAATTTCACTGTCATTTTTTACTTCAGGCAGAGTTTTGGATGAATAAAATCACAGAACTCAAGATAATCGTGCAATATAAACTTATGAAATATTAATACAATGGGCTGCAAAAGTCTCACACTACTACACTGAAAAGATGGGATTCAATATTTAATTTAAACCATGGAATCAAACACTTAAACCATGGAATCAAACAAAGTTAAGGGTTTTGAAAATTTAAAACACTTTTACAGGTTTTACAGACTGCCAGATGTCGATTGTCAGTTTTATATAACTGTACTGCATTGTAAATGTA